CCCTAGCACCTAGACTAGGGTGTGGCACAGAGTAAGTGCTCAATAAAAATGTGTTGACCAACTGGCTGAACCTCTGCCCCTCCCACAGCTTCTGCGGGGTTCAAATGAAAACGTCAGTGCAAATTTCCATGACCGATGGACGCCATTCAGACTCAGAACACAGCTGCCACTGGCGGACATTTTCTAAATTAACTTTATAAACGCACAAGGATTCATAATAGTCAAATCCTAGAAACAACTGAAACATCCTTCAGGAGGTGACCATCCTTTAGACGGTGGTCCAGCCACACCGTGGAATATTACACAGCAGTGGAAAGGAACAAATTACGGATGTATGCACCAATCCGGAGGGACCTCGAGGGAATCATGCTGAGTAAGAAGAGCCAGTCTCAAAAGGTTACATGCTGTATGATTCCATTTACATAATATTCCTGAAATAACCAAATTACAGAGTGAAGCATATTACCAGGCGGTGAGCGCATGGGTGTGTCTGCAGTGGAGTAGGGTGAAGGAGCCTGTGGGATAGAACAGTTCTGGGTCTTGAATGAGGTGCCGGTTACAGACACACGCCTCCACACATGAATACATGAGAAACCTGAGATCTGAATAAGCGCTGTGGATCGTATCAATGTCAATTTCCTGGCTGTGATATTGTGCGATAGTTATGCAAGATATTACCATTGGGCGAAGGACACACAAGACGCCTCCGTGAATTTTTTTTTTTCAATTTCCTGTGAATCTATTATTATTTCAAAATAAAGACTTTAACCCAAATAACACATACATAAAATAAATAAATATGTAAGGAGATAAGGGGAAAAAGGAGTCTCAGAAACACATGCATAGTAGAAATAGCTAAATTTCCCAAATTACCTGATTTGGTGAGAGATTCAGAGCACAGACTCGAGCTGGCAAGAAGTGTAACTGTTTTTTCACGATTTTATCCTCATTTATCCTCTGAGCCTCCACTCTGGCAGGCGGCTGAAACATTCCCCTCCCTCTTTTGCTGGAGTGACATCTAAATTCTGAAGCCCACGTCCTGCCACAGGCCCCCAAGGGCACGTCTAGTACAGATGCCATCCATCCACGTTCCCAGACTGGCTGCTGGTTGTTGGTCCCTGCGAATCCATGCTGCCTGCCCCTCACCCCAACTCCCACACCATGCTGAGCCCAAAGGACACCTGGCAGGATGACAGGCCACCACCTGGCATCCTGTGAGTCTCATGTAGTCCACAGATGTGTTTTATTTGGCCTATATAGTATTTTTAAAAAATTAGTTGGCAATATTCGAAATGGGAATTTTCACATAAGAATCTAGATCGCCCTGGGCACACATCCCAATGGGGCAGCGATTCTCTGGACCCGACTGGGTAGTGGCTGTCCCCCCTGCGGGTGTGCCACCATCCCCACTATCCCCTGCGGTCCGTCCGGCCTGGATTCACTCATTTCCAAACCCTACCTGGCCCACGTAGACACTTGATGTGGCGACCTTCACTCTTTTCTTACTTCTCTGTCACTTTGGGGTCCCCAGAGACTATTTTTCTCCTGCTCCTTGGTGACCCCAGAAACCCATCTGTCTAGACAATCAAATGGTCATTCAGTCCAAGGTCTTGCTGCTCTGCCTGGCTCCACACAGGAAGAAGACACAATGGACACAGCCCAGTTCTCCGTCTCCCTCGCTTCCTCTCAGACTCTCCTTCCTCCTCGTCTGGGGAACTCTCTTTTGTCTTAAGAGGCAGGAAGCCTTGCTAGCCCAGCATCTGCGTCCTTGTCCCCACCCCACCCTGATCTATGCTGTTGTCTACACACCAGTCCATTCTGTTCCCTTTGATCTCCTAAGCTTTCAAAATTCAAAAGCCAGGACCGTTTGGTTCTCTTTTTCACTGTGTCATCCTTTCTTGGAGATGTATGATAATAGCTGCTTGAATTTTGAGGGGTGGAGAGGATCTTTCTACCTGCCAGGTGCTGTGCTAAGCTCTTTACATGCACTGCCTCCTCATTTCAACCTCAAATTGGAAATGAGGCTAAGAGGGAGGAAGTGTTTGTTCAAAGTCAATAGCTAGCGAGGGACAGAGCTGCGACTTGGACCCAGAGCCTCTTAGCCACTGCCTTCCACAAAGATAAGGCTTTATTTCATCGCCACCTTTCCTGCTTCCTGCACTCCCAGGTCCCTGTCTGTCTGCACGGGGCAGGGTCCAGTGTGAATCCTTACTTGAGTGAAAGCAAAAGTCCGTTTGTCGAATGGTTTTTAAGGCCCACCTAGTCCCCAGCCAATCGAGTGGGATGGCCGTGACCGATAGGTTGCTAATTATTGACACAGTGGAATATTTTGACCCTCTGCACCCCACTTTAACCACAGCGTGAGAGTCCGGATAGCCAGCACACATGGACCCCCTGCATAAGAGCAGAGAGAAAAACAAGAGGATGAAACAAGAGGCTGAATCAGAGAGTTCGCAGATCCAATTAAGGAAATGGTTAGGTGCTGGCTGCTGTCAATTTGCAAATCAGCAGTCGGCCTTAGAAGCTGGACAAATCCATTTCTCAGAAAATCCAATTATAGTGCAGAGCCTAGAGGGCCATGCTGGGTTCTGCTCAACTCCCTGTCCTTCCCCATCGCCCCTTGGCTAGTATCTGTGACCATCCAGTCCCTGGGGCCGGAGAGCTGTTCTCTCTGAGCACTTCAGCACCAAGGTTGTCCTTCGTCATCCTTGGTGGCCAGGAGCACCTGACAACCACCTGTGCCACCCAGGGGCTCCGCTCTGAGGCTTCCTGCAGCCAGCGGGCTGGGAACAATGCGTGAGTGGAGCCCTGGGAAAAGACAGACCCACCCCATGTATGCCCTCGAGTTTTCTCGGGACTGGCATCGAGCCTACATTGCCCTGGACCTGGTTTTGATGGCACCACTGGGATAACTGACCCTCCATTTGGCCCGAAAGGGGGAAGTGTTATTTATTTATTTATTTTTAATTCAGTGTAATTCAAAGTTTAAACATTTGTGTTAATTGGGATCGTGATATTTTTCTGTTAGAAATGTAACCGTTTCTTTCACCTTGTATTGTCTTTTAGCTGATACCAGGCACCTCTCATAGAGCCGACACTTTATTACAGTTGTGCACGTATGAGGTGGTCTAGCTTGGTGCTTAGGCACATGACCCTCCAGCTGATTGTCTGAGTTCAAATCCGGGCTTTGAGGTTACCGAGTACAGCTCCTTCTCTGAGTCATTTATCCTTGGGGGCCTCAGCTTCCTCATCTGTAAAATGAGGTTAGTCCTGACCAAATCGATGTCTGCGAAATGCAGCAAGCAGAGCCCAGCTCGCGAAAAGTTGTTTAGTAAAAGGAGGCTCTTACTTTTTTTTTGGAGAAAAACTCCCAATGTGAATGAACCTGTTCTAGGTGATGGCGTCACTGGCCTCAGCAGACCTATGATTTGAAAGCCAAGGACACGGTCCTGTCAGTTGAATTTGACTCTCCAGTGCCTCGGCTGGCACTGGAGGAAGAACTAACTGTGGGTGCTCTGTGGATTCACCCAGAGAGCCACAGAGGCCAGGGAGGGGTGTGCCAGGCTGAGATTTCCTGTCCATCTCATCTGGGACTATGGAACGCTGTGTGTGTTGGGGGTGGGGTAGGCGAAGGATGGAGAAATGGGGCCCACCCTGAGGCCTTGGCTCTCAGGAGGAGGGTGGGAGTGGGGCAGGGGTAGGAAGGTCACGGGGTGCACAAGCACCCTGGAGACAAAGCAGCTGTGCTCTGTGTCCTCTTGGCTGCTGGGGACCAGGCTGCTCAGAAGGAGGAAGCAGCGGCCAGATGCGCTGAGTTCTGAGTTGGTGACCTCGTAGGCTGCCAGGGGAGGCGGGAATTCCCTGTTGGTGAGTGGCGGAGGGTCCTCTGTTCCCTCCTCTGTTCCCGGGCCATTTACTTATTTTTATTTTTTCTTTTTCACAGAGGCATAATTTATACTCGGTGAGACGCAAATCTTTTAAGTGGACAGCTCAGCTCGATGGGTGTTTACCTCCGTACATACCTGTGTAGCCACCACCCAGATCAAAATCTAGAGTATTTCCAGGACCCAAGAAGGCTGCCTTAGACCCTTTCCCGGTCAAGACCAACCCACCTCCACCAAACTAACCTCGTTTCTAACCTTCATCCACATAAATGAGTTTTGCCTGATTTTGAACTTCAAATAAACAGAACCACACAGTTCCGTATCTCCTCCTTCTCGTAAGGTCAACCATGGTCCAAGAATATTAAACGATTCCTACGTTTGAAATTGCATGCCATTCCGAGTCGTATGATAAAATCTGGCACGGTCCCGAGTGTCTCACCCAGGATGTGATTCATCCCATTGTCCAGCGTAGCCACACTGTACCTTCCATACAAGGAGATCTTTGAGGGAGGAGAGAGACCACATTCTCATGACTTTTATTACAACATATTGTTATTGTTATCATTGTTCTATTGTATTACGAGTTATTGTTGTTAACTTTTTACTGTGCCTCATTAAAAAATAGCTGTGTCTTGGGTATGTATGTATAGGAAAAAACAGTGCATGTAGGGTTCAGTACTATGTGGTTTCAGTCATGCACTGGGGGTCTTGGGGAATGTATCCCTGTGGATAAGGGGGCGCTGCTATAGGTATTCTTTTGTATCTGACTTCTTTCATGCAACATCGTGTGTGAGAGATCCAGGCAGGGTTTTTGCATAGCTGTACTTGGTTGTTCTTCATTGCTGTATAATATTCCATTATATGGCTTATACCGTAATTTATGTTTTCATTCTTTTGTTGATGGATTTCAAGTTTGTTTTTTTTTTCTGGTTTGGGACTCTTATGAATAAAGTGGCTATGAATATTTTTTGCCCCTGGCTTTGGGTGCATAGAAGCTCTCATTCCTGTCAGGCGTCTACCCTGGAGGGGTCCCAGGCCTTTTGGACATTCTAAGTGAAAACACTTCAAGATAAGGGAAAAGGGAACTAGTGTGTGGCAGGCATGAGAATCTGAGGAGCGGAAAGGAGGGAGCGGGTGCCAGACCACAGCAGCCACGTTCAGAAGAAGATGTGAAAAGAAGCTGGCCACCTGCCAACAGCATTTCCCCTTTCAGAAATGTCATCTGATCTTTTTTTTTTTTTTTCCCCTGGCAAAATGCATGAGAGATTCCCTGACCTTGGGAATTCTCTTCCTCCTCGTCCTGTCGGCTCCTGTCGGCGTCCTGGTCAGTAGACCTCAGGGATGACCGAGTTTATGCTTCTCATTTGACAGATGAGAAAACTGATGTCCAGAGAAGTGACTTGCCGGAAGCCTCACAGCTGGTAAATGACCGGGCCAGGAACACAGAGTTCTGGCCTCTAGCGGCCTTGCCTGTAAATCTGGAGGAAGGAATGACATTCACTGATCTTCCCCAGCGCTATCAGGCAAAATGAGAGCTGTTGCCCCCAAAGTTTGGAGACGTCTAGTAATCAACTTTCTGTGATTTTTGGATACCAGTGTCTAGTTTTACTCTATTCAACACTCAAACCTTACTGATCACCTACTATGTGTTCGGGAGCACTTTAGTCTCTGGGCCTGCAGCAGGGGATAAACATGACGAGCGCTCCTGCCCGCATACGATGTGCGTTCTCTCAGGGGAGAAGAGCAACAAACACACAAATAAGGACGGCGAAGTAAGTTAGGTAGAGAGAAGCGCTGCAGAGTAAAGCAGAGCAGGCGGGAGGATGGGACGTGCCGGGGGCTCAGGGGACGGGGAGGGTTGGATTTTTGAACAGAGGGATCAGGGAAGGTGACATTCAGAACACCGAAGAAGGGGAGGGAGTGCCGTGGGGTTGGGGGCGCTGTGGGGTGGGGAGTATGTTCTGGGCAGAGGCAACAGCAAGTGTAGAGGTCCTGAGGCCAGATCCTGCCGGGGGTGTCTGGGGACCTTGAGAAGAACTGTTTGGCCGGAGTGAGTTGACCAAATGGTGGGAGATGAGGTCAGAGAGGTGAGGGGGCAGAGGGGACCTGTAGGGCCACATCGGTTACTGTAAGGACTGTGGCTTTTACCGAGATGTGGAGACTTCAGAGTTTCTTTCAGAGGAGTGACGAGATCTGGCTTAGCATTTCTAAAGACTCCTCTGGCAGCTGCATGGGGACTAGATGGGACAAGGACAGAAGCAGGGAGACCATTTAAGGGACAGATGATGGGGCTTGGCCAGGCAGAGACAGTGGAGCGAGACGTGCCCCGGTGATGTTCTGAATACAGTGCCGGCAGGCCATGCTGACAGGTTGGCATCGGTCCTAACAGACCACCTTAAATGCAAAGCAAATGTGCTTTGCAAAGAAGCCCCCTGAGCTTCAAGAACGAACTTCCTCGTTCTCCTAGATCATCTCTCCTTCAGGTTCTCTTCCCCGAAGTCAGCCAGGGAGAAGTCTCACCGTGTCCTTCTCCATCACAGGACCGAGCCCTTGAATCAGTAAGTGTGTGTGTGTGCGCGCACGTGTGTGAGTGTGTGTGTGCGCACGCGCATGTGTTTGAGTGTGTGTGTGCGTGTGTGTGCATGCGTGTGTGTGCGCGTGCGCGTGTGCACGTGCGTGTGGGCAGGGGAGGTCACTTTGCTTCTTCCTTGTCTATCCTTTCTCTGCTCTTCCACTTTCTCTTTCTCCGGCAGGCATTTTGTCAACGCGCCAACTGCCTACGAGCACCTGAGTGACAGAACCTCATGCAAGGCCGCTCTCCCGGGCTTTGAACGCACTCCGGCCGCACCGACCTCCCCGCTTAGGCTCCATGCCTAGCCTAAGTCCACCGCTGGGCCTTTGCACTTGCTGTTCAGCCCTGCTCTTCGAGTGGCATTTCTTCTGCATCTTTCAGGTCTCGGCTTGAATGTCACCTCCTCAGAGAGACATCCTCTGACCTTCCGCCTAGAAACCAGTCTCCCCCGTGTGCTTTCTGCTGTCTTCACAGTCCTTACCACATGATCTCACTGGGATTTATTTGTTTACGTATTGTTTCTTCCCTCACATGATAAGGCATTAGAAAGGCAGGAACGAACTGGTCTTGTTGATTGTCAGTTCCCCAAGTACCAAGCTTAGTACCTACAGGGACAGATTAGCAGGAAAGTATAGCAGAGGCTTCAAGAAAATCAGTGGTGTTCGATCTTGGCTGTGTGCTTGGATCACCTTTCAAAGAATAACTACGGGCCCCACCTCAGACTCATCGAATGGGAATCTCCAGGGGTGGAACCTTCACATTAGGGTTTTAAAAAAACTCTCCATGGGTTTTTACCGCACCTGGCCTTCAGGACTAAGACCTATTTGACTAGCTCAGCGTGTCTGGGGTGGAGCATCTGTATTTTTAACCATTATCCAGGTGTTTTCTATGCTCATTATAACTTGAGGACCCCTGAACGAGAGCCCTGCTTCCTGTCACAGCTTGGCATCCTGGGGTCAACAGAGAAGGCTGATCCCGGCCAGGGGGGACCTGGCCACCTGAGGGTTGGGGCCATGAAAGTCTCAGCCACTCCTTTCACCATTCAAGACAGAACTCGATCCAAGGTCTCTGTCACGAGTCTAGGAATCTTTAAAATGGCCTAAGCCCCCTTAGCAGGACCCTGGGTTAATTACTTGATAGTCTCATTTTTCTATGACATTCATGGTGTCTTTCTTCCTGGGAGAGTTTTAAGTGAGTCCTTGACCCTTGCATTGGCTTGAGAATTATTGTTTCTTTCCTTCCAAATGTGGAGTTCTACAGACAAATATAACTTATTCAACAGAATAGCTCCTTGGGGGAGAACAAGTTATTTTGTCTTTATTCATCCAGTGGCATTACCAGTGACGATCACATGCCGAAGGCTCCTGAGCCTCGTCTATAAAATGGAGGCCATTTCACTGCCCCACCGGGGCTGAGCTGAGGCTCGATCGGCCACCTTGCCCGTGTATTCATACGGCTGCTGTGACAAATACCGCAACCTGGCGGCTTAAACAGCACGAACGTATTATTTTACGCGTCTGTAGGTAAGAAGTCTGACATGGGTTTCACTGGGCGATCAAGGTGTTGGCGGGGCTGCGTTCCTTCCGGAGGCTCCAGGGGAGAATCTGTTTCCTTGCCTTTTCCAGCATCGAGAGCTGGCCACCGGCCTTGGCTGCTGGCCCCTTCCTCCACCTTCAAAGCCATCAACGGCGGCCGAGCCTATTTTTCACATCACATCACATCACTCCGACTTCCCTCCGCGGTCCATCTCCCTCCCCTCTCTGCGTCTGCCTCCTAGCCTCGCGATTACTTCGGGCCCACCGGACAATCCTGAAACAGGATGATCTCCCTATTTAAGGTGAGCTGGTCAGCAACCTTAATTTCCCTTTGCCACGTAAGGTAGCATAGTCACAGGTCCTGGGGATTGGGATGGGGATATCTTTCAGGGGCCATGAATCAGCCTGACAGTGTCCTTCCGCACATCTGTCTTCATTGGCCCCAGCATCCTCCTGTCTCCACAGCTTGGCATGCCCAGGGGCCAGGAGGAAGACTGATTTATTCTGTAGGAAAATGATGAAGGGCAAGTGGCTGGACGAGGTGAAGTTTACACATTCTTCAGGTGCCCCAATCGTGTGTTTGACTCCCTGGGGTTGCCCACATGGTCCTGGGGGTGCTGTTTTTAGAGACTTCTCGCCCTGGGAACAATGGCCCTTAAAAGTATTCTGCTGGCCCTCCCCCAGCATCAACAGAGAAAGGCCTTGTGGTTGGTATCAGCTTCATCCTCAGCTCGCCTCCCGCTGGGCAGCTGCTCACCCTTGAGCACTGTGCCAGGCTCAGGAGCCAGGCCTCCTGGCTGGGAGAGCGTCTCGGTGAGTCCATAGGTGTTTCCATTTGTCCTGAGGTCAGCTTCCAAATTTTGTCTGTCCCACTGAATGTTTGTTCCTTGCTTTCTGTGGAGAAAACAGAAACAAAAGACATTTTCCCCATCCTTTTTGGCTGCAGGGAGTCAGGGCAGGTATCACAAGGGCCCCTGCCCACCTGAAGCTGGATCTGTTGGGCCTTATTCCTGAGTGGTCTGGGCTGGGGCTGCGAGGGATGGATCATCTTGCCATCTAGTGGTGAGTGGTGGTACTGCAAGCTACAATGGCCCAAGAACCGTCTGTGCTGGAGCCGCTTTATCCAAGGGCTGCGGTCCCAAGGCCTGGCTGTCCCTCAGAACTGCCCCAGGGGGTTTTAAAAAAGACAAATGCCCAAGCCTCACTCCACACCTACTGCACCAGAAACTCCGAGGCCTGGACATCTACGGTTTAGTAGAATGTAGATCTCTAAGCCTAAACTCAATTACTAGGTTTGCGATAAGACCTGAAAATCTGAATTCTTAAAAAAAAAAACAGAACACCTCTCCAGTGACTCCCTTAAGCGGCTTGACTTAAATACCATTGACTCAGCTGCCCACAAGATAACTGAACCAACTGTGGGATGTGGATTTTTCAACAGGCTGATGGTTAGGGAAGGATATAATATAGCGGTTAATATCTGGGGCCTACTTTTATTACTACCAATTGTGGGACTTTGGGCCAATGTCTAAACTTCTTCCTGCTTCTGTAAAGTAGAGATAAGACTACCTGTCTATTGGGGCTGTTGTGAGGCCCCAGTGAGATCATGTGTAAAGCACTTAGCACAGGGCCTGGCCTTCTGAAGCGAGTCCTGTATTGACAGTCCCACTGCTCACACTGTTGGGAGCCCTGTGTCTGATTTCAGTGACACATTTATAAGGGAATACATAGATAAGTACTTGCTACAATAACTATTGATAAATTTATGTGCACACTCGGTAATATATGTACATGTACTGTGTACACACATATACACATGCATGTGTGTTTATGTATTAGAAAAAATAAAGCCAGCCTCTCAGGCCTGTGGTTTCACAGAATTAGGTAGCAATGTTAAGCCTGAGCCAAATTACAATCATATTTATATTAAGTGTTATGGACTAAATGTTTGTATCCCCTGCTCCAGTTCCTATGTTGACACCTCACCCCCAAGGTGATAGTATTAGGAGACGGGGCTTTTGGGGGTGCTTAGGTCATGAGTGAGGAGCCCTGATAGGGTTAGCGCCCTTATAAAAGAGACCCTGGAGAGGAGATGGCACTCGCCAGAACCTGGCCACGCTGGCACCCCAATCCCACACTTCCAGCCTCCAGGACTGTGAGGACTAAACCTCTCCCAGTCTAGGCTCCTTTGTCATAGCTGCCGGAACAGACTAAGACGCGAAGTCAATGACCACAGAGCAGGTTCGTGGGGGTGGCAGAAGCAGTCGGGGCAGCCTTGGGGAACCCCTCCTCAGGGGAATTTTCCAGTTGGGTTTGGAGATTGGTTTTGGTGACACTGCAGGTTGCCTCCCCTCTATTAGTTGGCTGGCGCTGCCGTAACAAAGTGCGGGGTGGGGCGAAGGGGGCCAGTTAGGGTGCCACTTAACCGAACCTCAGGAAGCAGGAGTGGCGCCGGCCTCACAGACAGTTGGATCCAGGGAACAGGTAGATCCACCCCCACCCGTCATCCCTTCCCCCATCTTGATTTCTGGCTCTGAGTCGGCCCCATTCTCTCAGGCATCTCCTCATGGGAGGGGCATGGCAGGGCAGCCTGCAGCTCTGGGGCACATCTGACAGCTCAAGATCCAAAACGAAAGCGAGGGCTGACCTTCCACTCACAACGTGAGCCGTCCAGGTAAGGATTCTGATTCCCCCTTCTCGAATCTCAGTGCCCACTCCTGGGGCCATCCAGGGCCGGGGGCTACAGGGATGGGACAGGTCCAGACAAGATCACATGACCTCCCTAAAGGTGGGGGTGGGGTGGAGGGGGTGGAGGCGGTAGGGGCAGTATGACCAGCAGACTCCCACCCCCAAGAATGGGGGAGCAGTTTCCCCAAGGTGGGCCGAAGCAGGGAGCTCAGCAGAGATCCTGAGGCCCAGACAGGGAAAGGAGGTGTCCCCAGACCACACCGCTTATGCCTGTGGCAGAGCCAGGGGACGTCAGTCCTGCTCTGTGTCTGAGTCCCAGTGAAGAGTGGGGTGGCTGGCACATCAGTTGCCTTCAGGCTCTGTTACTAAGTTGCTGTGAGACCTTGAGCAAGTGTCTAAAACTTCTTGTCTTCTCTTTTTTTTTTTTTTTTAGAAGAGTAGGGTGGCTGGCACATCAGTTGCCTTCAGGCTCTGTCACTAAGTTGCTGTGAGACCTTGAGCAAGTGTCCAAAACTTCTTGTCTTCTATTTTTTTTTTTTTTTTAATGGGGATGATGGAGGCAGGGTGTGGGATTAGCTATTATAAACACTCATTCGACCAGACCGTTCTAGTCTCTAAATTATTACCTTGTTTTAAGTTAGGAGCTCGAAGGGCTGGCTTTCCCCGTTAAACCTGTAATTTATAGAGCAATTTTCCACCAGGCGAAGGGCGTGGATCCAGCATCCAATAATGCCATGCTCGACAATGCGGAAGTCCTGCCTGGGAACATCTGGCTTCAGAAATTTTTACTGTAAGCAGCTGGGGGTGGCGGCCAGCCTTAGGTCAGGGAGTACGAGGCCAGCCTCCGCAGACAGCCATCTGTCCATGCTAAGATCCTAGCTCCCACTCATTAGCTCGGGGCCCCGGGAATCTATGTAACTTCTCCATGCCTCAGTTTCTCCCTCTGCCAGTTGAGGAAAACAATGCCTGCCTGAGGGATTCCTGGGGGATTCGAGCACAAGCACACCCAGCTGCGGTTCTCCACGGGGGAGGGTTTTGCCTCCCCAGGGGACATTTGGCAACCTCTGGAGACGTTTGTGGGCTGTCGTGCCTGGAGGGGGGCGGGGGTGATCATGGCATCTAGGGGGAGAGGTCAGGGATGCTGCAGGACAGCCCTGGCTCCCAACAAAGTCTGTCCAGAATGTCAACGGCGCTGAGGGGGAGACACCCTGCCGTGAGGGACAGGGCGGTGTCCAGGCTAGGCCTGGCCTCTGGGTCCGATGTCCCTCAATTCTCAGTTCTGTTCCTGGCGTTTCCGTGAGCCGCTGGGCGCGTGGACTCAAGTTTCTTTCCCTCTCTGAGTATCGGGGTGAGGGGGGTGCTCCCTGCCCTGGAGTCCGACTGCCCTGCCCCGCCTGCACGTGAGAGGATGCATCGTTTGAGAAAGAGGAGCCCCCTTGGGCCACGTTGAAGGATCCCACGCTGTCCCCCGAGAGCCACCGCACTGGACGCTCTGTTCTCTCACCAGTGCAAGCATTGTCCCCTCGGGCTGTGCGGCCTGGTGCTGACCCCACCCCTGGCGGACTTGGGACCCTGTCCAAGCCCAGGAGGCTCCACCCTGAGACTTTGCGGGAACAAGAGGCCCTGTCCTGGGGAGCTCTTGCTAAGCTGGGACGTTGCATATCTGGTGGTCATTTTTGCCAACAGCTGGGGACAACCTGTCTGGGAATGAAGCTGATACAGAGGAAAGCAAAGCCATTTCTTTATTTAAAGATAAAGAAAAATGAAGATCCTGAAAATATCGTTCGATGCTCTGTATCCAGCCTTGTCCAAACCAGTTGTGGTCTTGGACTGCTGTTTACAAAGAACAATAAATCTTTCTATTTTTAAACCAGTTTTCGAGTTAGGTTTCTGTCTCATGTCACTGGCTAATACAGAGATCCCACCTGTCCTGTCCTAGAATTTTTGTTTCCTCCAGCTGAGAGAGCTTTGCCGGCAGGACAGAGCACACCTGGACTCCTTTTTGAGTGATGCCACCTGCTAAGGTAAGTCCCAGGCTGGAAGGTGGGGGTGAGTGTGGGCTCGCCACCGCTGCCGGGGGTCGGGAGTGCGCCGTGGCAGGGACAAGCCTAGTGTTTGGAGGCAGATGACTGGGTCAAGTCTCTGTCCGGTGATTTCTTAGCTTTACAGAGCCGGGCAAGGCCCTCGGCTTTTCCCGCCTCAGTTTCTGCATCTGTGAAACGGGGTCATCTCCCTTCTCAAAGAGGCTGCTGGGAAAATTAAATGAGAAGACAAATAGAAAAAGGCCATCTCATCCATAAAACGCTGTGCAGTAGGATTTATTGTTACAGTGTTAAAATTCACTCTTGGGAAGACATCGGGGGCCACGACCCACAACTGAAGGCCCGGAACACCATCTTTGCTCGTGGACAGCTGTTCCCTTTGCAGTCCCCACCCTCACCCCGTGTGGGAGGGCTCAGGAAATCCCCCTCACCGGCCGGCCACTGCCAATAACCTTCGATACAGAAGTCGCTATTTCCCACGAGGTGTTTGATCCTCACCACTCAACCGCCTGGAGCCTATTGGAGCCTCGACGAGCAGCACAGACGTGATGGTGCCCAGATGGGCAGGGGAGAGCTGGGCTTGGAGCAGCGGAGGGACCTGCGTGCCCCTGCACTGAGCCCAAGAAGTCACATCTTGCCAAAATCGCCACCTGCTGCCAGACCCAGCGCTCAAGAAGACCTCAAGATCTTCTGAGGCCCTTCCATGCTGGCTGGGCTGTGTGGAGACCCCGCGCCCTCGACTTCATCTGGCCAGGTTCTCGCGCGGCTTCTCCCTGCCTCTGGCAGCCCGGGGTCTGGTAACCGTGATTTGACAGGATTTCTGGGAGAAAGGCTCTGCGCAGCCAGGGACGAAGGGGTCTTTCAGAGGCGTCCGGGGTCAGAAAGGGGTCTCCCAAGCAGGTACCTTCTGATAGCTCTGGCCCCCGGCTTTTGGGAAGAACACGAGGTGCCTCTCTCTGTCTACCTTGACTCTCCCCGACCTCTGGCACCAGCTACCCTTTTGCAAACGGCCAGTACCTATGGGCACAAGCCACAGCACCTTTCGGAGAAGCACATCGTATTGTTCCCAGGTCCAGAAGCCCTTGAAGGACCAAGACCACGACTCAGGCTGTTTGGACAGGACGTGGCAGGTCAATGTTCCATCGGTGGCTGCTCTGCCAGCTTCGGGTCATCGGCGACCAGAACCTCTCTGCCAGGTCTTTCTGAATCCCCACTCTTCATGTTCACCCTTGAGGCAGAGTTGACGTTTAGGATTTTCCCAGCAGACGAAGCCCACCTGATCTGGCCCTGTGTGGAGGTTGTTAACGTATCAATCAACCTGTCCTCATGTTGAAAAATCATCTCAAACGCTAGCCCGGCTGCCAGGGATACGAGCATCGGGCGGGAGAGGATGTGTGGTTAGGGCATCACTTGGACTAAAAAGTGCATTGGAGGTTGCCCACGCTGCCCCAGGTGTGCCGGCCTGATGCTGCAAGGTTTTGGGCAATGTCACCCCTGCCACTGACCCCCGATTGTCTGCTTGTCCATCTTGTCCCCAATGGGACTGATTCGGGGAATAATGCAAGCTTCATTACTGTCAACTCAGGTGAATGCTGGTTTCACATAATTAGGGCTGCATTCAGGTACCCCCTGCTATTCTTGCTCACCTTGCAGGAATTTGCTGCCTCGTGAGAGGCAGATCTGGGGTGCCGGGTCCCCCAGCCTGGATGCTGGCTTGGGAATGGCAGGAAGTTGGACTCCCCGATCTGGGCTGCAGGGTCTGCAGGTTTAGGCCCCTCGTGTGGCTGGATGTTAATGAAGACACTGGGATTTGGCGCCTCAGCTAAGCCAAGGCAGGTACTGGAGCGTCACCCCTCAGGCCCTGGAATCAGAAACGTGTGCCTAGGAGGCCAAACATGTAGATGAAAGGGGGCTGTCCACCCGGCCGCCTCCCAGGCATTTGGCCCCATGCTGATGTTAAGAGGACATGCCGTGGTCTCGGCACTGGGGGGATTTCTTGAGTTCCTCGGGCTCCGTTCGTGCATTTCCCACGACGGGAAGCAATCCATTGGCTTCAAGGACGTGTGCTTTGAGGCTGACACCTGCAGCGAGTCTCAGACATTCTAACCTGTCCCTGACTCTCGGTGCAAGCGGCTTCACTGGAAGTTGATCACGGCGGTTCCAACCAATGATCTGCTTTGATAGCCGAAGTGTTAGGTAGAACTCCAGTGTGCTTGGTCCTTCCCGAATCATCGCTCAGCGTTGAGGTCCGTGAAGTCGGGCCTGAACACTCGGACTGGTTTCCAAAGGCTGTGCATGTGGGATCGCGCTCTCTCTCCTCGTTGGTCAAGCCCTACTGGGGGCTTTAGAGAATCTAAACAGTAAACATGCCTTGTCCTTCTTTGGCATGTTGTTCCAGTCATACGGAGTTGGAGAGAGCCACTTCAAGGTCAGTTTTGTGTTGTAAATGAAAAATTAGACAGCTCACCCCCCTCCCCACCCCACAACTTCCCCGCCTGTCTCCTGAGAGGTCACGAAGTGTGTTACAGACATTAGCAAGTGTTAACCCTCACGACGTCCCTGGGAGGGACCCGGAGTATCGTAGATGAAGACATTGAGGCACAGAGAGGTGAGGTCACTGGGAAGAAACCACACAGCAGAAACGGTGGCAGAGTCAAGAAAAGGGCTGGGGGTTCTCGCCACCATCTCAACGACTTTGCTCTGCGAGATTCGTCTCAGTTAGGACAATGGTGAGCACACCTGTTTCAGGTGACAGAGACATCACGACAAAGGTTTGTTGAGTTAACAGTGATGAGCATTGTTCTAGCCCCAATCTCAGATTCGTTGCCACGTTTGGTAGAATTGTCACAGATGTCCCTGATCCTGTTGTCATGATGTTCTTTACCCCAACAGGATAACTGCATTTCCCGGGAACGTTGCTGCTGGGCCCCACCTTGCACAGATCATTCACCTGTCCCTATCGCGTGTAGCCACTCATGGAGGAAGGGGAAAACAGCTCTTCGACATGTCCACCCCTGCGTGACACGTGGCTTTTAGGGTAGAGGAAATGACCTCCCCATCCAAGAGAGATTCAGTGACCCAAAATAGAACCCGAGTTCTCAGTCATGGGGATAAGGATGCTGGAGCTGAGATCTCCCTCCGTCTGACTTCTCAGCGAGAGGCAGCACTTCCCGCCGTCCTGGTGGCAGGAAAGGTCTACGCGTCCACTGGTCAGCCTCATGCTTTGCCTGCTCTGAGCACTGTCACCACTGGGCTCTTCATGTCTTGGTTGGGGTCCCACCTGCTCCTCCTGGGAGGGTATTTTGTGGGGGGATCATAGCCTCTTTCCACCTTGGCAGCTCAGTTCAAGGCTCTGGGACCACTTGGACTGCTCAATGGCCAACAGTCACTCTGAGGTGGAGTCTGGATTATGGAAAGGCCGGGCACTGTGACAAGTCCTCTGGACCAGTCTCCTTCTGTTGAGCAGGAAGCCCATGGCTGGTACCCGCCTCGCTCCTTAGCGGTCTGCTGAGATTTTTGCTGGCGGTAGAGGAATATCCTCAGCCCCAGGTCACTATGTACAGTGGTGATGGCGTCCAGCTGCTCTTCCTCCATGTGTGTCTCTGCGTTGGGTCTGGCGGAGCATTGGCTCCTTACACGTTGGTGACCTCCAGGCTGTTGTAGCCTTCCAGACGGCGCTGCTCTGGCCTGCCCTGCGGGTCATCGTCTCCACAATCCTCATTCTGGAGAGAGCCGTAGTCATCATGGAAGTCGGAGTCTTTGCTGCTGAAACCCCTTCCTATCTTCCCCAGGGGCAACTGAGAAGAGAGGAACGAGACCAAAGGTCAGGAAGAAGAGAAAAAGGCATTGAATGTTTCTGGATCTGGAACACATGGGGTCTCCAATTCTAATCGCTGTGTGACCTTGAGTAACTTACATCACCTCTCTGTGCTCCTCCTCCTAATATTAATAATCCTCTACTGCTCAGGGAGACTGAGGGGGTTTTGTGAGTTAACATTAGGAGAGAGCTTTGTGTTCCCAACTGGAGAGAACGGGTCGGTTACTAAGGGCGAGGACAAATATAGTCTGATTATCCACAAAAGTCTCCGTCTTCCTCCTCGGTGGGAGATTTGAGAACGGGTATAATGGAGGAGAGGCGAGACTGAGCATGGGCGTGAGGTCTGAGCGCATTCCCGGGCCAAGGGGAAGTATTCTAGCACCGCCTGGGGAGGCAGCAGGAGTGTGGGTTTTGGAGACACACAAACCAGGGTTCGATTCCCTGCTTCGCCACTTCCCAGCTGTGTGACCTTGGATAAGTCACCAGCCCTCTTGGAGCCTCAGTTTTCTTAGCAATTTCTCCAATAGGAATAGTAATTCCTACCTCCCAGAGTTGTCGAAAGAGTAGAAATCCCATCTGTAAAGCACACAGCAAGGTGCTATTATCCTACACAGTAGGTCTTCAAGGTGCTATTATCCTACACAGTAGGTCCTCAATATTTATCCCTTATTTTGAACATGCCTCTGTTACAGTAATCATGACAGTGTTTTGTAATTATTTATTTGCTTGATGGCCTTTCTTCCCAGACTAGTGTTTCTCAACATTTTTTTTTTCATTATTGGCCCCCTTAAAAAGAGCCTTTTAGACATTTTTTCCCTAATCACAATCCCACCATGAAACTGTCATTTCACAGATATACTGTGCTTCTGTGTACGTACCATGTGTATATCTGTATGTCACCTTGGAAGGGTGGTAATTTATTCATGCTGATACCCCCGTGCTTAGGATGGTGCCTGGAACACTGTTATGACCCCAAAACTGTTTACCGAGTGAGCAGAAGATGTTTTAGGCTCT